TATAGGGAGACCCTGTCTCAAAAAGACCAAAATAAATAAATAAATAAAATACTACTACTACTACTAATAATAATAACCTTTCATGAATTAAAGAAATTTAACATTTAGAATTTTAAAAGTACATATTTTTTTGTGTGTTCAATAGAAGAGAAACATTTGTTTGCATAGGAATTCATGAAGGTGACCCAACTTGGAAAAAGAACTATTCACTTTGGCCATGGGGATCTTGTGACAAATTAGTTCCTTCAAGGATTGTTTTCAACCCAGAGGAATGGATTAATCTCACAAGAAACATCTATAACTGGACTGAACAATATGGAAGGTATGAACAGCAGGTGTGTCTTTAAGCAGAAGTAAACGATTTTTGTTTGCCAGTAAAAACTGCATTTTGCAATACCTTATTTTTATTATTTTTTTGTATTTTTGTTTAATTTCTTTTTAATTTTGTTTATTTTTATTTCATGTGTATGAGTGTGTTGCCCACAGGTATGTGTTATCATATGCATGCAGTGCCTGTGGAGATAGAAGAGGGTGTCATGTCAAACCCCCTGGAACTAGAATTACAGATGGTTGTTCCCAGCACTGACATGGTGCTAGGAACTCAACCCAGTCCTATGCAAGAGCAGCCAGTACTCTGAACCACCACTGAGCCATCTCTCCAGCCACTCCCTCATTTTTTTGAGACAGGGTCTCACTATGTAGCCTTGACTGGAATGCTCTATGTAGACCAGGCTGGCCTTGAACTCACAGAAATTCACCTGCCTCTGTCTCCTGAGTGTTGGGATTAAAGACGTACTCTTCCATACCCTTGTTTTTAGATTTTTGAGACTAGCCGGCCAGGCTGGCCTCATATTCAGAATCCTCCTGCATCAGCTTCCTGAGTGCTGGAATTATAGGCCTGTGCTACCACATTTGGCTCTTGAGATGCCTTTTAGTTTTTTGTTTTGTTTTTTTATAAATATCATTTGCTGCCCACAAAGGATCATAAAGCATGAACTATTAGAGATGGTTTCTCTCTTGTCCTCCTGTATATGGAGTGACGGGAAGACCTGGGGGAAAAGGCTGTGGTTGAGTGTGTTCCACAAGAATTCAATGTATGGTATCTTGTGCTTTCAGGCCTTTTGAAAGTTCATGATCCAGTACCCTACATTAATTACCTTAAAACTGGAAGGGACTCATTAACTGTAGTTAAACTTTAAGAGGCACTCTGTTGCCCATGACCATTTCCACATGCATGAACTTGTCGTGTTCTTCTTTCCACAAAAATGCAGATAAGGGATCAGCATGTGGCTCAGTGGTACAGCACTTGCCTAGCGTGTGGAGTGGAATGAGGTGTTCAATCCCCAGCACCCCTCCCAAAAAAGACAATTATTCTGTAAGGAAGACTGTGTTTAAGAACCTTTTTCCACGGTTATTTGGCATTAACTTTGTTGTATTGTTTTAGGTCATTATTTGTCTTAATCATCTCTTTATAGAGTTTATTCTTTCCCTTATGGAAAATTAATCTCATCTAACAAATTGCCCCGTCATCTAATATTTGAATTATGAATATTTTAATATTATTTACTTAACTGTTTATAATTCAGAAACAAGAGGCATGATCATGATTTTGCCTGCATGTATGTAAGTGTACCTGTGGATACAATGCCCGTGGAGGCTAGAAGAGGATGTCAGATCTTCTGGAACTGGACTTACAAGCAGTTGTTAACTGACATGTGTGTGCTGGGAACTAAACCCAGGTCTTCATCAAGAGCAGCAAGTGCTCAGTGGTTACACCGAGCCAGCTCTCTATCCCCTGTAAAGAGATTTTTAATCAACATGAGCAAACATGCCATGTTATTGTATGGTAGCCAGAGCTGTATAACCATTTTGCTGTGATTCATAAGGCAAGTTAAAAAACAACATACTTTGCTGGATGCTGTGGTACATGCCTATAACCCTAGCACTCAAGAGGCTGAGTCAGGAGGATTGTGAATTCAAGGCTACCTGAACTACATAGTAAGACCCAGTCTCAAGAAAACAAAAGAAAATTTTTTGAAGGGAATTGCATTCACTTGAGCTAGCTGATGAGTAGTACATGTATATTTCATCCATTAGCTCCCTTCTATCAAAGATGCGTAACAGGAAATTTTAATTAAGAAAAACCAGCGGTCATTGGCCAGAATTCTTCAAGCAGTACCATCACCTCAACAGTGATTTAGTGATGCCCCTCTTCATGCTTACCTCTTTGTTTCACAGCCCTCTGATTCTTGGCTGTGTAATGTGGCCTGTCCCTCACTCTGTTACCTCGTTGCTGTCTTAACACCTCTCAGGAGCAGCTGGACCCTCAGCACCTCCAGCCTCTTCCTCTCAGTCCTCCTGTGAGGCTCAGTTAAGAGCACATCTATCAAAACTCAAAATATTTTGTTTGATCACTGTCAGTACTTCAAATCCAACTTACTTTAATGGCCTTATAAGATTATAAAACAAGCATTACATGTCCATGGCATTAAATGTAACTGATGAAAAGATACTGTTTTTCTTGTAATTACAGGTTTGATCCATCTTCTTGGGACTCTGTGGCCAATGAAGAGATGTGGCAAGCAAGGTAACTGACTACATTTTGTATTTGCAGTCTGTTTTTAATATAGCAGAGAAATAGCCTGTGGCACTTCTCATTCTATATAGGGGAGTGGTAATAAAATAACGTCTATGAGAAGCTATTTTGTTTGGGGCATTCTATTAATCATTATATATGGATAATCTCATTTTATCCTCATAATAACCTGGGAAGTTGTATTGGCTCCATTTTACAAAAGAACTGGAGGTAGATGGGATTTCCAAGGGCTCTTAGCTACAGAGATGGAGTCCAAAACTCATCTGACCATGGGACACTCTTAATTCCTGTGCTGTTTTTCCAGCTAAGCCAGCGAGAGGAGTGAGATTGAATGGAATTACTCATTACAACCCTCCTCTGTTTGTGGTCTGTCAGTCAGTTATTAAAGACTCAGTTAATGCTAATCAGAGGTCAGGCACTGTGCCAGGCCTGAAGCTATTACATATGAATGTGGCACTGCTCCTGCCCTTGTGAAGCATACAGTCTGTGACAGCAGACCATGCTAAGAGATTTAACTGGGAGCTGGAGAGGTAGCTCAGAGGTTAAGAGAACTGGCAGCTCTTGCAGAAGACCTAGGTTTGGTTCCCAGCACCCAAATGGCACCTTAACAATTGTCCGTAGCTCCTGATCTAGAGGATCTGACACCATCTTCTGATTTCCTCAGGCATTGAATGCATGGGCGCATATATGGCAAAACCCTCATGCACATAAAATAAAAACAAATATTTTAAAAAAGGGATTTAATTGTCACTGTGGTAGACACTGTACTTTGCTGTTGCTCAGAGAAAGGGGTTTACTGTCCCACGTGGAACACTTCTTGGTGGCACTGCTGCTTCTTGTGGTCCCTGTCATAATTTTTAAGTAATCAAAACAACCAACAGTGACCAGTGAGATGACCCAATAGGTAAAGGCACTTGCTGCCAAGCCTAACAACCTGAATTTAATCCCCTGAGTCTACAAAGTGGAGAGAGAGTGCCAACTCCTGCAAGTTGTCCTGTGACCTACACACAAAAAAAATAAATAAATAAATAATAAATAAATAAATAGCCAGGCCTGGTAATGCACACCTTTGATCTCAGCACTTAGGAGGCAGAGGCAGGTGGATCTCTGTGAGATCAAGGCCAGCCTGGTCTACATAGTGAGTTCTAGGCCAGCTGGAACTACAGGGAGACCCTGTCTCAAAAAGACAGATAAATAAATGCAAGAAAACACACAAATTTCGGCCTAAATATTAGCACAGAGGTCCTAAGGACTACAGACAAAAATGTCGAAGCCCCATCTGTGCTTCCCAGCTAGGGCATGTTCTGAGAACTGAGTTGTGGTATAATGCATGTACATATATTGAAAGAGATTTATTAGGAATTACCTAGAAATGCAGTTCCTTTGGCCAGCAAGATGGCTCAGCAGGTAAAGGCGCTTGCTTCCAAGCCTGACAATCTGAGTTCAATCCCCAGGACCCACAGAGTAGAGGAGACAACTGACTCCCACAAGTTGTCCTCTGTCCTCCACATTTCTGCCATGGCACATATAAACACCACCCCAGCACACAAAATAAATGTCATAAAAAAAAAATTTAAAGAAAGAAATACAGGGCTGAGAGATGGCTCAGTGGCTAAGAGCACAGGCTGCTCTTGCAAAGGACCTGGGTTCGACTCCCAGAACCCATGTGGCAGCTAACAACCACCCGTAACTCCAGTATACACTCTTAAAATAAAAATAATAAGTAAAGGGGCTGGAGAGATGGCTCAGCAGTTAAGAACACTGGTTGTTCTTGCAGAAGACCCAAGTTCGAATCCTAGCACCCACATGGCAGCTAACAGATGTCCGTAACTCCAGTTCCAGGGGATCCAACGGCCTCTTCTGTCCTCTGCGGGCATTGCATGACATGGGTGCACTTACCTACATGCAGGCAATACATGCATACACATAAAATAAAAATAATAAAATATTTAAAATTTTTTTTTAAAAAATAAGTAAAATATTTAAAGAAAGAGAAATATAGCTCCAAGATAATTTTTTAAATAGCTCTACTGGGCTGGAGAGATGGTTCAGCAGTTAAGAGCAATGATTCCTCTTGCAGAAGACCTGGGTTTGGTTCCTAGCACCCACATGGCAGCCAATAACTCTCTATAACTCCAGTTCCAGGGGATCTGATGCCCTTTTCTGACTTTCACGGGTGTTGCATGACATGGGTACCCTTACACACATGCAGGCAATACACACATACACATAAAACAGTAATAATATTTCTTTTTTTAAATTTTTTATTTTTTATTGTTTTATGTGTATGCGTGCATTGCTGCATGTAGGTAAAATGCACCCATGTTGTGCAATACCCGCGGAGGACAGAAGACGCTGTCAGATCCCCTAGAACTGGAGTTACAGATCGTTGTTAGCTGCTATGTGGGTGCTGGGATTCGAACCTGGGTCTTCTGCAAGAACATTCAGTGTTCTTAACTGCTAAGCCTTCGCTCCAGCCCCATAATAATGTTTCTTAAAAATAGTTCTGTAATTTATGCAATAGTTTTTGAAAAATTAGCAAATGGCATAAAGTTTCCTATCTGGTTAGAGGGACAAATACTTGCTTTGAAGACTTAATCAAAGATACCCTGTGTTTGCACAATTCTTCACTGTGATTGAATGAGGGAAATCTGGGGAGAAATCATGTAAAAGAAAGCAGGCCATTATTCAGGCAGGTATTGATTCAGTTGATGTGCTGAATACAGTTTGGATGGATTCATGTGGTCAGAGTCCAGCAACCTTTGAAGAACTGGGCACACATGGCACAGGCTGCTGTCACAGGCACCTTGAGAGATGTGTTGACAATGCCTCTAGTCTCCCCATTCCCAGCTGCTCTTCTGTAGCAGTGCCACACATCTGGAGGAATCCGGTGTCTCATAGCAATGGGGGGACACGGCCTTTCTTCCTGGAGACTTGGCATGGAGTGTGAGCACTGCCTTTAGAGGGGGCGGATCACTCTTGGTTCAGAGTGAACTTCAACGAACATGAGAAAGTGAAAAATAAATAAGGGTTTTGTACATCCCGTCCCCATAGAAAGCCTGCAAGATTCAGTCCTGCATGTAAAATTGGTGGTATGGTTTTAATGAAGGTTCTTCCTTCCACCCCCAGGATGAAAACACCGTTCTTCATCTTTAGCCTAGCAGAAACTGCCAACATGCCCTCAGATGTGAAAGCCCAACTCTACGCTCATGCATATAAAGTATGTTCCAGTTTTATTGAAGGATATTTGTTGTGATATGGTAGTGACTGCGATGGAGACAGGGTGTACCACAGAATTCCTTTGTTTTCAGTTAATCTTGGGCATTATAAAGCAGCACCTAAGAAAACGTGTTCAGTTATATTATAAACAATGTCTAAAGCAAATGGCTGCAGTAAGCAGACTATTGCCTCCGCCCCACGATGCCCATGTCCTAACCTCCTGTGTTAGGACCTGAGACTATTACCTTCCACAGCAAAGGGGACTCTGTAGGTGTGGTTGAGTTAAAGGATTTAAGCTAGGCTACCTAAATGAACCCATGAGATCACAGGAGCCTTACTGAAAGGAGGCTGGAGGATCAGGGTCAAGGAGATGGGAGGCAGAAGCAAAGGTCAGAGGGAGAGATTTGAGGATGGTACCCACTGGCTATGGAGATGGAGAATTACAGTTGCAGAGGTCTCTGAAAAATTGAAAGGAAAGAACAGATGCCCCTCCAGAGCATCAGGAGCTCAGCCCTGCTGACTTCACAGCTTCTCAACCACAGCGTAAGACACTGAACTTGGGCTATTTTCAGCTACAATACTTACGGTACTTTGTTATAGCAGTGATAGGAAACTAACAAAATGGCTTTATAAAAAACAAATAAGGGGCTGGAGAGATGACTCAGCGGTTAAGAACTCTGATTGTTCTTGCAGAAGACCTGGGTTCGAATTCCAGCACCAACATGGCAGCTAACAACTGTCCGTAACTCCAGTCCCAGGGGATCCGACAGCCTCTTCTGACCTCCATGGGCATTGCACAACACGGGTGCACTTACCTACATGCAATACATGCATACACATAAAATAAAAATAATAAAATTTAAAACAAAACAAAAACAAATAATCCTAGCATTCAGGAGGCAGAGGCCGGTGGATCTCTGTGAGATTAAGGCCAGCCTGCTCTACATAGCAAATTCTAGGTCAGCTCAAAAACAAAAAAGATCTAGCATGTTATCCTGTGTGCAAAATCCTGACCCTGGCTACACTTGAAATGATAGGACTGTAGAGAAGACATGACTAACGATAAAAGGTCACAGAGAGAGGCTGTCTTCAAACCGACTTTACCCATCAGATCTTCTGACGACATAGCTAACACCTCTTTACCAGGTTAGGAGCATGGTGAGAGGCTTGCAATAGCGGTATTTTGACAAGGCTCAGGTTTTCTGTGATTTGTAGTACTAGACTCTTCCAATACCTGCAGAAATGGTCTTCAGTTTGCCGTGTAGAAAACAAATACCCTGGCTGGGGCCTGTGTACATGGAGCCCAGGCCCTGTAGGTATGAGTGGTGATGTGTTTCTTCTCTCCAGACAGCTGTAGCTGTGCTCAGCCAGTGCATTTGTTTGCTGCTGAGTTAAAACAGCATGACGCCCAATCAGCATGACTCCTGGTCCTAAGGTTTGATAATTCTCTATTTATTCATTCGCCCTCCCTCACAGCATTTATTGAGCACCTACTTCATGTTGCATATGGTGTTAGAAAAATCCTTGTCCCTGCTGTCACAAAGGTGACAAGCTACAGAAGGGGCCTGAGGATGAGCCAGTCCTCCATCTCTTCTCAGATTTGTATGTGCTGCCAGAGAGTTGGGGCTGAGCACTGAGAAGAGATGTCACTGCAAGATCAGGAGGAGCTAGCCAGACAGATGAGAGGGCAAGAAAGTGAGACATGGGGAAGGGCAGTCTCTAAGAAGGTAACCTTGGGGGCAGAGGACTTCTCTAGAGCATGCCCTCAAGGACAGCAGGGGAGTCAGTTCTGTGATGTAGACTGTAGAGTTCTGCCTGGCAGCTGAATGGTCTATTTTCTAGGCCCACTCTACCATAGTTGTCAACTGTAAATCAGCTAAGCTTTCCAGACCTGGGAAGTGTGCTGATGCCAAGAATAGTCAGGAAGCAAGCAGTGTTTGTTAGGGAGAAAACTGACATCTAATATTTCACAGTGATAACTCGTTTGTCAGGCCGCCACCAAAGCACCTATGTGGATTTATTGTCCCAAAGGCAAGCTTCATTCTTTGCGATGAACACAGACTATGGGAGAACTCTTCATGTAGGTCTTGTCGTAAGTGATGCAGTTCCACTCCCAGTACCTGGTTTTCAGGGTATTCCTGTTAGGCATAAAGAGAACTTTTGTTATTATTTACATTGTCCCATTCAATAGTTTATACTGAACATTAGGGATAAATTGGGTAAGTTGAAGATGTACCCAGTTAATGTACTATAGTCTAGTTAATGTCTATAGGAACCCACAGAGAAGGTAGCATTTTATACAGTGAGATGGGCTGGCCTTTTAAAACTCAACATATTTGCTCTAATTGGTTATCCAAAGTATGTTAGTGATGTGTCAATGAGAGAGTGTTCTAGGAAAGGGTGGTATGTGTGTTTTAATGTCTGAGGAAAATAGTAGGTTATGTTGAGCCTCTGATTCTCTGGAACAGCTGGGAAAACAGTCCTGGAAGAGCCACTTTGTTTTGGTCCCCAACCCCTTAGGATTCTGAAAACTGAACAGTTTCTAAGCTCCTGCCTGGTGGTGTCGGAGTGCTACAACCCTCCTTAGCGGGAAGCAACCGGGAGAGGAAAAAGACTATAAGAAAAGGGGAGAGAAATACAAGCATATTGTACCAAGAGACCAAAGAGTACCGACCTTAATGTTGTACCTCATCCACCGGACTCCAAAAAGACCACCGAGGACCCAACACACCAAAATGCAAAAGCAAAGGTTTATGGTTTATTTGGGCTTAAGCTCGGGCTCTCAGACCTCACCAACTCATTGGATCCGTGCTGAGAGCCCAGAGTAAGGGAGAGTGGAGCCTTTTACAGGTTTTAGACAAAGAGAGGAGGGGGATACCGAAGATACATTTTGGTTGGTTCAAGGCGCCTGCGTGCACCAACATAATTTTAAACTGATTGGGTGTATAAGATGCAGCCCTGGAAGTTTCTTATTGGTAGGTGCTATTCTCAGGGCTGTGGAATGTGCTGACTGTTATCTGTGGGGCCAGGAGTCTCCGTTTTTACCTTATAGGGCAGTTTTCATGCCTGGGCTTGCTTAATCTATAGTTTCCTGGAAGGGGGGTGGGGAATAGCAGG